AACCACAGAAGAGCAAGGGACACTGCCCTAGGACTCTCAGCATCTTTTCTGTTAGGCTTTGCTTTGGACAGCTAAGCAGGTGTCATTAGCAGATGCAGCAATATCCAAATCATTGTCTGCTCAATCCCGTCCCTTAGAGCATCCACTCTTCCAAACACTCTACGCTGTTTATTAGGAGGTAAGTGTTCAGTTTTGTAACACAAAACACAGGATAAAAGCTAAGAGAACTCCATGGCAGACTTGGGTATTATAACCTCTATACATGCTGACATACTGAAGAAGATATAGGGAGGTCCTATGACTACTAGGTAAAACAGTTCTTGAAGCTTCCATTATTGCAGGCAGCACACAGGAAGAAGCTGTCACTGGGGAACTAACTCGGCAGGAAAATACTTTTAATTGACCTTGTGATTTCACAAATGTTACTGGTTCTTCTAAATCCTAAGAATTGTCATTACTGTGTTGACTCTGCGTGTGTCAAGCCATCCTGGCTCACGGGGTACCTGTGAGAGACTATTTGGATACCAAAATCTGTAGCTGTTAAATTCTTGTGTCAAATGGCATAATATTTACATATAACCTCATATGCATCTTCTCTTTGAATTGTCTCTAGATTACTTGTAAATTACATGGTAAATGCTATGAAAACTTTATTAGGCTGCATTATTTGTGGGATTACCAGGAAAAAAGCATGTAGACGCACACTACAGAATTGAGGGGTGTTTGTTTGTTTGTTTGTTTTTGAAACAGGATCCCATGTATCTCCAGCTAACCTTGAATTTCTATGTAGTTGATGATGCTCTTGAACTTCTGATCATCTTGCCTCTACCTCCCAAGTGCTTCTATTGAAGGGTGTACTACTACTATGTTTGCTTTACATGGTGTTAAAGATCTAACCCAGGGCTTCATGTTTGTTAGGCAAGCAGTCTACCTACTGAGATACATCTCTCACCCCCGGAAGTAATTTTTTAAAAATATTTTTCTATCTATGATTGGCTAAATCTGTTGATGCAGAACCCATGAATGCAGAGGGTGACAGATGCAGATTTTCCAAATAGGATAGATTTGCTACCATTTCAATACAAACCCTGGAGGCCATTTTCATTATTTAGTTAACTAAAACCTTTTTTCTAAAAATACATCAGTATGACATCAAAGTCCACTGGAGCTATTTTCTTAGCCCTTTAAGATGACCCACTATCCTGTTATGCTTAGGATTCTCCAAGTTTTAGTTCTGGAAGTCCTGTGTCTTGAGGGGAAAAAAAGGAAAGATGGTGTCCCCTTACTATTGGGAAAATCAGGACATTTTGATGCTCCACTGACAGCCCTAGATTTAAACTTCAGGCTTGTGGTGCTACAGTATCTACAGTTGGTAGAAGGGAGACTTGCTACAAAGACATATGAAGAACTTAAAACCTCACCAAAATCTTCAAGCTCTCATGTTTCTTTCAAGATGGCCCTTTTAAAAATAACCCAACAACCCATTTTTTTTTTCACAAGAAATAGTCTCTTACTTTCGGGGATAACCTACCTAACGTGGAGGAAGCTGAGATATGCATGGAAGCTGTCAGTAACAGTCATGCTACATAGAGATGCTGAATACTAGATCACTCCCTCCCCAATCTTCATATTTCAGAGCCTAATAAATAATACAGATGTGGCAGGCAGACATAGTAGCCTACGATAAAACCCTCACACTTTTTGGCCCTATTTAAAGTCCTTGGAACCTACGACTTATAGACAAGCACTCAGAGCTGGAAAAACACCCAAAGTAGCAATCTCTTCAGAGGTCGCACCCATAGTTCCACAGTCCAGCCAAAAAGGGGGGAGGCACTGGGTCAACCTTGACTTCAACCTGTCTGCTTGCTTCATTGCCAAATATCCTAAGAAAGGCAAAAGTCTCCAGTGCCTGAACCCACAGCATAGGAACTATAGAGCTAAGCCAAGAACTTATTTCATTTGCTCAGGAGCACTGAAACCCCTCAATCTGGTATAATGAAGTGACATGGACCCAACCTGAAGCATCGCTGCTGGTCTGAACAATTCCTCTTTCCTCTGTCTGTGGTAGGCAGAATAACAGCCTCTAAATAAGTCTATGTCTCAGTCTCCCAGAGCCTGTGACTGTGTAACCTGAACTGAATAAAGGGAGTATGTAGACACAATTAAATTAAGGATCTTGTGAGATTATTCCTGTTTATCTAGATATAGCTGATCTGAAGGTAATGTGCCTACAATACAAAGTCTCACAGATACACAGTGTCTCAGGCTTTAAAAATGGCATTGGAAGCAATAAAGATGAGGGGCCTTGAGCCTCTTAATATGTGACTTTTAGCCAAAGTGAGATCCCTGCAGATCCTATCCCATGGCACTGGAATATGCATATGTATGTTTTTAAGATGTTAAACTTATAATATCTTGTTATAGCAGCAACAGAAAATAAATCATCTTTCATCACTGGAGTACCATTTGTCTGGTACCTTAGCAGGATTTTGTTTCAAACCATAATATTTGACAATTTCTTACTTAGTGTTTAATTTGCTTCTCTGTTTAGACTTTAAAAAACAAACTTAGTACTAAACCAAATCTACTCAAAATCCCCGAGAGGGTACAAAATAACACCACCTTTTATATGTCTACCTTGTTTAGTTTCTTTCTTTAGTTTAAGTCAGAGACGATTTAGATAAGAGACCACCAAGAAAGATAATTTTGTCTGAAGAAAAAAAATGCTTTTAGGAGAGAGGAGCAAATGACAAATAACACCTTTAAAGTTGTGTGCAGCCTAGCCTTTAACGACGGAGCCGCCCTGTAGTCTTAGTCCAGAAATGATCTGAATACGAAGATGTGCAGTCTATGTGTATGGCTGGCTAAGTAAGATAGCTTTTACAGCTGTATGTACCCCATAGGCTCCCCATTAGTCAGTGAACTCCTAAAACTACTATTATAAAACAATGTTTTGCATCAATCTTATAAACCTTTCCAGTACAATATGTGTTACTTTTCTGAGACAAAACAAAAGTATATTTCTCAAGGTTCTGCTGCCTCCAGCAGCATTTGATGGGAGATCTTTAATACATTTGTAACATGCAGAAATAAATCAGATTAATGTGTTTCTTTAAAAAATTTAAATCATGTTCCAAGTTTCTGGTCAAGATTGTGTAGGATAAGTTAAACATAATTGTACTCTATTAACCAATATAAGTGTATTTCTTATGCACACAGTTACATTGAAATAAAGTTCTAAAATGCAAAATAAATAAATAAATAAAGTTGTGTGCAAAGGCACAGTAGTTCTCGGTGTGTTCCTAGAGCATTCCAGAGACCACAATGACTACAGAATGCCATTGCTACAAGTACCAAGAGCACAATTAAGAACTGTTCCCGTGAACACATGAACAACCTCCATTGGGCAACTCTGCTTGGATTTACTTGAAATTTTTCAGTTTACTTTTTAACATGAAACCCACACAACATACAAAGAATGCCAGAAGATGCATAAAACATTCTTAGTATTAGTAATATTTGAAGGTATATTGGGATAGCTCAGCCCTTAACCAAAAGGTATGAGATACTTAAACTTAAAGAACTTGATTACAGGGCAGCTGAAGTTCTGCATGTTTCTTATCTACACACACACACACACACATGCACACATGCATGCACACACACACACATGCACACACACACGTGCAATGCTTACCAAGCTATCTTCACATGAGCTCGCACGCAGCAATCCTCAACTCTGACTGCACTGTAAAACCATCTGCACAGCTTTCAGAAACTTCGGCTATCCAGGCTTTCCCCGTAAGGCTTCTGATTCAACTGATCTGGGTGGCTTCTGTGTAGCCTTGTGTTTCCATGTTTCTCTATGGGTGCTAACGGACAACCCCAACTTCGTCAGGACAAGGCTGTTCTGCCTGGCAGGAAGGGGTCTACAGGCACACCCATGTTGATGAAGCCACTCCTGGAAGCTGAATTCTAGTCTCTCTTCTTGCATGTGGAGCCTGGCAATCACTCCCCAGCTCAACTCCCCAAAGAGACGTTTTGAAGCATTCTATATGCTTTCTCCCCTTTACTTCTCACTCCCATCATCAATTCCACCAGCTCTCCCAAACCCAACCCCCTCTTAGACCCATGTCTTCCCACTGGCCTTCCTTCCATTTCCCCAGCTGTCTGTAGAATCATCTTTTCCAAGAAAAAAAAGTCTCATTGCATATTCTTTTCTGCCTGCCCACCCAGATTACAGAATCCCTCCACACTTAGTTGACCTGCCTCTTCAGTCAGTTACACTCTGACCACTTGAAAATCTCTGAAGGTTTTCAGAAGACATCATGACCTTTGGCATCTGTGTATATTCTGACATGGGACTGTTTATGCCTGGATTGAGTCCTCTCTCCCTTCCAGACTGGGAGCATCTCACCATGACTCAAAGCTTTCCTCCACAGAACCACCAGGCCAGGCCCTGCTTTGCTCATACTTCATCCATGGGGCCTCTAATGCCACATTGCTCTCCCTTGCAATTGGTAATACTGTGGCCTATGTGGTTTTCATCTGTGTACACCTACATCTGGCTTTAATTCTTTTGTTCATTCATTCAACACTTTTATTAAATATGTAACAAATGCCAAATGTGCTGGCTGCACGCTGGAGGCAAAACTGTTCAGTTGGAAACCACACCTGCTCTCACAGAGTTTTTTCTTGACAAGGAGGGAGATTGCTGAAGGAACTTCACAATAAAACAGAACGATTGATTAGAGAATTGGGAGGAGTTTTGCTTTGTGTGCAGTCTTTGCAATCCCATTGTGCTAGTCAGTTAAGAAATAATGCCCCCATCTGGTTTCTAGAATTGTGATATATGTCAAATGCTTACATTTGACTGTTAAAGTTGTAGATGAATGTCATCTTTTCATTCTGTCATCAAATGAATAGCTTCACTTGATGATCTCAAAAGTCCAAATTTGAGGACCTCATTGCTGTGTGTTTGAAAAAAAGAGAAAACTTACCCTTATCCAAAGGTCTAGGGCTTGGTAAATGTTAAGCATACGTTTGCTACATGAAGAAAAAATGAAGGACAGCTTCTAGAAATCAATTAAGCCAGGTACCAAGGCTTCCTGCTTTTATCAGAATTTTGCTAAAACCGTTAAACACATACAAAGTCCAACCACCAAATGCAAGTGGCCACACTGTTCAACCCAATGGAAAAAGGAGAGAAGCAGATGAAAGTATAAAGAACAATGCTGGCTGTGAATTTATAACTGCTCATACTGGATGATGAGGACATGGGAAATTTTTATAACAGTTATCTTTGCTTTGATATACACTGATAATTTTTCATAATGAAGCTGAACTTTAAAATAGAACGAAAATTCTGAGTCTCTGTCAAATGGAAACACCACTTCTAGTTTGGGATAGGCAGACTACAGTCTTACCTGACTCAGGCTAACGGGGTCTTTCAAGTTTGTAAGCAGTTTCAAATGGCTTTAACTCATCTCCAGAGTTAATTAAGGGTCTTTCAGAGAAGCCCACCAGCACTCAGCTGACCTTTTGCTGTTCTGGTTACTGCTCAGGCAAAAGATTTTGCAGTGTCTATAACCAATCCATTAAGTCAAGGCTTACCTTCCCAAGCCAGTCACCCGGAGGCTCTGCCATACACAGGGTATGTTAATGTCTGAAAACCCTTAATCACTTTTGATACAACATGGATCCCATTATTTAGGCAACAACTTCAAATGTTCTCTAGCTTAGACATTTTTTTAGAAGATAAGAGAAAATCTGGGTAAAACTCCGATTTTAACTGTCACTAAAGAGAGCCATGCTTTCTTTAGACATCAAGACTACAGCAACACTGTCCAAGACTACCATGGTTGTTTTCTATAAAGATGTCCTGGTCTGTAAGATTTCTGACATTCTCATGGTCCCTCCTAAAGTTCCAGTTAGGTTTATGATGAGTCTTGAAGAAAATATCTCAGAATTCTTACCTCGTCAACTTTCAAGGCCGGAGGTTCACTGGCAGATCTGACTGTGTACAGAAAACAAAGAAAGCAAACTTGAAGAAAATGAGGAATAGAAAGATTTATAACAGCTAAGTGAGCAAATCGCTGTTTCTGTGGCCAGGGCGAGGGCTCTGTGGCTAACGGTAAAGGCAGAGAGTCCTGCGTTTGCACGCCAGACCCTACATCTTTGGAAACTGTCTCTTTTTAAGAAATGTATGTAGCATGTGAAATAAGAATTCTTTGTTTTGTGAAATTCACTATCCTACAACACACAAACACACACACATATCATCCCACCATCACCAACAACAACAAAAACCACCATGAAAACACAATAGTCAGGGAGGAATCCACTAAAGCAGATTTCTTGGTGGCAGAAGCTCTGTACTCTGGGATGGGTAATTCTAAACTCTATTCTTGAGTTAGGCTGATTGGTTCCTACCAAGACCAAAGCAGACTGCATCCTTTGGCCCTAGGTCTTAGGAGAGCTAGAGTTCTCAGTCAGTGTGTACTTGACCCTTTAAAAGAGCAAATTGGTGGTTTTAAAATTCTCCAGCATGTAGTCTTTCGTAGGTTGTTTTGAGGTCTACAGGCATCTGCACTCTTCACATAGCCCCTGTGAATTCCAACTGAGTCAACTTAACTATGCCTAGTGTCTATACTTCCCACCAGAAGACACAGCCACCCCGAAGCTTCAGGGACTACCTTTCCATTCCTACTTCATTTCTGACTCAGAACAAAAAGGAGTCTTATACCAAAAGGAATGTGACTGAGGGTGGGAGGCAAATTCCTATCAGATCCTAGGACTAAATAGGTGTTGGTGTCTCCAGAGATTTCACATTGCGTGAGACCGGCATGTACGTCTTGGCCCAATCGGCTGTATTCTCAGAGTGCTAGAAGAAGTCACAGGTTTTAAACGAACCAAAGTTATTAAAAAAGAAAATCATTATCTTGTGATTAATGACAGCAAAGGAAAAGAAAACAAGCCAAGGGCAAAAAACAACCTATTTTCAGAGACTGAACCCTGGGGATAATAATGGCTAAGTGGGACTTAGCAAATAAGCCTGTGCAAGGGTGCTCTGAGGTGCAGGCTCATATATTACGCTGATGGTGTAAACTCTCGCACAAGTCTCTGGAAAGCAGCTTGGTCTATTTATCAAGGGGTTTAGACATAATCACAATCATAATTCTAGTGAGTCAGCTCCTTGATTCTAACAACAGCAGTAGACAAAAATTATTACCAAGGGGTTAGAAATAACCCAATTAACAATAGTACCACTTCCTAGGCAACGGGAACTCTGCATGTCGAGCCAACAATGAGTACAAGACTTTTTTTTGTTGGGGAGGGCAGTTACTGCACATTTTAGGCAAGTTTTCTACCAGAGCACTTCATCCCAGCCCAGAAATTTAAATGATGAGGAGAATGCACCTGGTAGATACGTGAAGAGAGACACAAATGCAAAGCATTGTCTCCAGTGCGGTGTCAGCTAGTCTCCTAACGTAACTTCACCCATCCATTTGAAATTTTGCTCTTTTGGGTTTTAGTTACCTGCAGTCTGAAAATGTTAATACATAGAAAATGGAAAATTCCAGGAATGAATATTCCATAAGTTTTAAACTATGCCACTCTGATTCCCTCAGTCCTGCCCAGGGCACTAATCATCCTTGTACCCAAAGTATCCACACCACATATGCTGCCTGCCTCTTCATCATTTACTACAGTCATTTATTAGACATTTCATCGTGAGGTATTATAATCAAGCATTCTTTAAATAGTATCCTAATGCTTGTTACAATATCTTTATTATTTAATTACTTTGTCTTATCCTGCAGGCATATTATTATCTAACATCACCTCAAGGTGGTGAGTCTACAAAACAAAAATATTTTGAGAAAGACTACATGCCCATACATGTTAAGAGGGCTGGAGGTGTGTGCCATGTAAAAACAGAGTTTAGTGAGAAAACTGTAGAGGTAGTGTGTGTAGCTGTGGGTCCATGCTTTCTCCTCCTCCCTTCCTTCTGGGTCCTTGTCACAAGCCATCAAGAACAAGAGACCACAAGAACAAGGGAATCATGGAACAACCTGGTGGAAGAGCTAGTTCCCCCATATGATCTTGAGCACAGCTAAGCCAGCCCTTGGTCATTCATCTCTGGGTTGTTAAAAAGAATCCTTTCTGACTTCCTTCAGTCACTGTAAATCATGCGCAGTTAGTTCAACTAACAACAAACTTAATAAATGATCTTATTCTTACTTTCATTATTCATAATTTATAATGCTATTATTACCAAATTGTTAATGCTTTACATGAATTATTTTGATGATGAGTAAAATATTAAGGTTTAAGCAGAGAGAGAGCCACTATGGAGCTTCCAGGTCAGACATGCTGAATCTTTCCCGGTAGGCCACGACCTCGTGGTGATAAACAGAAAATAGAAATGGGTTAAATCAAGATATGAGAGTTAGCCAATAAGAGGCTAGAGATAATGGGCCAGGCAATGTTTTAACTAATACAATTTCTGTGTGGTTATTTCGGGTGTAAGCTAGCCGGGCAGCCAGAACAAAGGGCCCCCTCTCCCTACAACAGGGAAGTTCTGTGTGTGTCTTCATATATTTGGCTCATGGCTCTGCTTGTTATTCAGTAGAATCAAAACAAGTGACTTCTACAGAAGTCTACTGACTGGGCCCCAGAACCTCTTGGATGTCCATAAAGCAAGTGTGTGCTTTGATTTTGGTTTCCTTAGGAGCAATGACTGACTTAGCAGAACTCCTATAAGTTTGATGGTCTCCTTGAAGACACATGGGCCTGCATTGTAAGATGGTTGCCCGATATAAAGGATTCAGATCCAGTCCATAAATAAAGAAAATATAGCAGGTCCAGGTATGAATCGGGTCAGAAACATAAAACAGCCTCTAACTGGGTAGAACATGGATGATCATTATAATCTGCAATAATGATATGCCAGAGGCATTCAGTGACTTTGAGTAGATCATTAGGGCCCTGTGCACAGACACTCAAAGCATTTTACCAGGTTGACCTTAGAGACTTCTATTAGCTGAAGAAACCATTTGTCCTTTTCTTCCCCAGAGAGTACCAATTGGTCCTTTTCTCCCCTGTGAATCGCAATCCCCAACACTAATATGGCTACTTTGTCTTCGATAGCAAGGGGAGGGGGAAGTCCAGGGTCTCTCCCCTTCCCTTCAGGATGACTGTGTTCAAGGGAAACCCCTAAATCCTCTCCCACAGTAGGCAGGCTAAAGCTGATAGTCAAAGCTCAGAGTTCAGTTTTTCTCCCATCTTCCCTCTGCAGAAACATAAGCAAGGCAGCTCTACAGGCCTAATTACCATGGTAACCACAGGCACTATGAGATTATGAGTGTGTTTGTGAAAATGACTCATAAGTTTTTCCCCCAGAAGCCCCAGACACACAGGTTTCTGACTAGTTTATAAAATCCATTTAACGTTTTCTTGCACTTTTGGCTCTTATTAGCATATCTGTTGCTACGAGGAGGGATCCATAAAATCAAACAGGCCCTTCTTGAAGATGAAAAAAAGGAAGGAAGAAAGAAAGAAAGAAAGAAAGAAAGAAAGAAAGAAAGAAAGAAAGAAAGAAAGGAAGGAAGGAAGGAAGGAAGGAAGGAAGGAAGGAAGGAAAAAGAATAGAAAGAAAAGAGTGAATCAGTTCCCTCTATTTACCCCAGATTTACAAAAAAAAAAAAAAATTGACTTGAATTTATCTATGGAAGATAACTATTCTTTTCCTAATTTAAATAATTTAATTATTCCATGAAGTACTTTTAGAGATTCCAGTGAAATAAGCAGGTGAAATAAAATATTTAGTATGAAATACCAAACAAAATAACCTAAATTGGAGAGCACAAACAGTTACAGAATAATTTAAAATCTTAATATCAAGGTATTTTGAAACAGATGTCCTAAGTAAAATAGTTTATTTTTAAAATTTGAAACATGAAAGAATCTAGACTTCTATTTATGTAATAAGCATCATTTAAGGGCATGTATGGACTATTCATCATTGTTTGTAGCTGGGAAATGACCACACAGCTTAGGGGACTTGCTCCAGACAGAGGCCATGGCCTGGCCCGGCTGTCCCCTTCTCTTTGAACTCTCACAAAGCACCTTTGTGGGTAGAAGTCTCCTGGCCTGCTGCATGTCACACGTCTGGCTTTGGCTTGACTACTGACTCCCTCAAAGGATGAGATCCTGGTGGTTTTAGTGTACGGGTTTCCTCTGTGTGAAATGGAAATAAACCTTATTTCAAAAAGAAATTAAAATGAAAATTACTTATATAAACTTAATTATCTTCCTCCCTCAGTAACATTTTATACACACCAATGCCACAAAATGGGCATTTAAAATCAGCATCTTCCGAATTATGTACATGTTCATGTACTCGTGTCAATAACCACCCCCCACAGTTTAAAGGAAAAACTAAAGTGACTATCAGTGTGAATGGCAAGATTGCACTATAGAACAGCCATTGTTATATAGCAAAGCCTGGTTCTCCTCACTCCACAGTCATTACTGGCCAGGGCATGGGGCTTACTCTTATCTTTGCAAATCAAAGCCCTCGCTGTCCTCACACCACTGTAATGGCCAGGGAATAGGCTTGTATATTGTTCTTACAGCATCTTTCAACAAATGATGCTCCACACTGCTTACTTATCTTGGGCCAATGCTGGGCACTTGGCTACACCTCACAAAAGCAGGTTTGGGCTGTGTAAGTCTATTATGAATAGACTACTGGGAGGAAGTGGTTATGGATAAGCTCATGGGTTCCTAGATAAATGGTTCAAATCTGAGACTAACACTCCACTAAATCAGGGCATTGACAGCTCTCTGCAGCAGGGAAAGGGGCTTTCTCAGTCAACTCCAAACTCCAGTGATGAACACTGACTGGATGGGAATGTGTCCTTCTGCTAGAGATTTACCTACCAATTAGACCCTGGTTAAACTAAAAGACACTCTCCTTGAGGTTTAAAGCAACATAAATTATAGGACTAT